ATATATATATATATATATATATATATTATCATATAAATAAAGAGATGGCCTAATAATTTTTTTATAAGTATAAGTCCAATTGATTTAAATAATAGACTTTTGTAAAGCATAAACCTAAGCTTTATTAAATAAGTTAGGCTAGATTTTAAATATGTGAGATTTTGTTTAAGATCTGACTTATTTTGATCCCTATCTATCAATTATCACAAATTTTGGGTCTAGTTAGACAAACAACTTATTTAGAATCTTATATGATAAACTTTTATCGAATAAGGACTTATAATATTATAAGTGCTTAAAATTCAATAATTTGTTGTATTTAAATATACATATTAATAAGTGCTTATAAAATTGGTAAAAAGAAAATACTTATATAATTTTAAATTGTTTGTATATATTACTATTTAAGTACTTATAATATGTTATCTCATTTTAAAAATTAAAATTAAAATTTAACCAAAAGTAAAATATAAATACAAAAAATAATTCAATAATTTTTAAAAATAATATCATACATCACAATAATATTAAAAATGATTAAAAAAAGTATTAGTCATCGTTCACCTAATTTTAATTTATAAAATAATAAAATTAATAATAAAAATACGAAAAATGAAATATATACATATAACCATGATTAAAAATCAAGAGTATGAATTTTAAAAAATAAAAATCAATTTTATATATTTTATAAAATAATAATTAAAAAATTATTGTATAAATATCAACAACAAAATTATTCTGAACATACTATTTTATAAGAAAAAAAATAAAGTTACAAGTTATATAGAGGAGCTTTTATGAGGGAATGTGGATTTTGGGGGGAGAAAGAGATGGAAAAAATTTGAGGAAGGGAAAAATAATTATAAAAAAAACAAAAACTTTTGAAGTGAGAAACATAAACTTTTAGAGGGAGTAATGAAAAAATATATTACTAATTTTTAATAAAAAATAATAATAAATAAATAAAATAAAATAAAAATTATTTACGTTGGTAACAAGATTCAACTCATATATGTTTTAATAAGTTTTTGTATAAGTAATTAATTCTGTAAAATAACAATAAAAAGTTAATAGATTTAATTTAATAATTAATTTGTTAACTTCATTTTATGAATTGGCTTAATATCAGTTAAAACTTTAGCCTATTAAGTTGAAATCATGTATAAATATTTTTTACATAAAACTATGTATAGTTTGGAAATGTTTAAATAATTTTTTTTCATAACCACTTATAAAAAAATAAAATAATTTTTTATAAATTAAAATTAAAATATACTTATGTTAATTTGTAGAAGATTTGTCATACTAACTTTTTCAAAACCTTGCTTAAAACTTATTAATAAGTTGATTTTATAATTATTTTTCTTATATTCGTATAAATGCTTATGGGTAATTTCATATTGTTGATATATTTTAAGTTAGTTAAATTTAAATTTGTATAGTTTATCTTATTTGATATATGTGTGTTTTGTTCTTGGAGGTGATCAATGGTATGTGAATTTTTTTTTTATTTTTTTGTTAATTTTTAATTGAAAATCTTAGTTTCTCAGTAGTTTTACAAAAAAATTCAGGAGATATAGTTTTTGTGAACTATTTGTCTCTCATTTTCTTACAAAATCATTCCCATGAAAAGTTGGGAATCCAATTTTTTCAAAGTAAAGAAAAAAAATTGTGTATATAAAGATATCATAATTAATATCCTTTTTAAAATAAGAAATATATAGTTGAATTCATCTATTCCAAAAATATTCATTTTTTCACACACTCCATTGTTTATTTTTCAAATTTTGATAAAGAAAGTAGTCATATTGTGTACTCCCTTATAAGTTCCATGTAAATCTTTGTCTCTCTCATTCTTATGTCTTTGTGTGAGTGAATATTTTTTATTGATTCAAAATTTGTTATTTTCATCATTTTTTGTTTGATTGATTTTGTGTCGATATCTATTTCATTGAACTATTAAATTATGTATTCGTGACTTCATCAAATATAATTTCAATATGTAAAACCTAATTAATATTTTTTTATTCATTATCACTTGAACATGTAACGACCCGACTGGTCACTACACACAGCACAACACACCAGAACACCACACAGAAAGAACAAGTATATACATATAGTGTCTAGAATATACATATATATATATATATATATATATATATACAAGGTCCAAATCTGACTAGAGTCAGAGTGTACAAATTAAATACATCCAGCAATGCTACACTAAGTAGCTAAAAACAACAAAAGACTAAAACTCCAACTGCCAGCTGCAGACCCTCCTCAGCTCACCAACCTAACCCTACTCTACTCCCATACATAGTATGATCATTGCAGTCCAAATCATATGGAAACAACAAAGGGTAAGCTAGTGAAAAGAAATTAACATACATATATAAATATATGAATGGTAAACAGCTACAACTATCAGTACATCAATCAGCTTAACAACATCAGCCCATAATATATCACAACATTCAGCAATATCAGCACCACATAGCGGCAATAACAGCACTGCATAGCAGCAATAACAACACCGCATATCAGCAATAACAGCACCGCATAGCAGCAATAACAGCATACAGCTCAGCATTATACAACACCGCCAAACAACTCACAACCTAGCTAACACAGCTCAAAGCACAGCACAGCACAGCTAAACAACTTACAGCACAGCAATTTACATCAACTACGTCTTAACACCATAATTAAGCAATTATCATCTAACAGCACAGCAATATTCACCATTTACAGCTCAGCTCAGCATATAACCACATCCATCAGCAAATTTCAGCAAAATTCAACACACAACAGCCTATAATTACTCATCACATCCGCGCCCGGCGTGGCACAACCAGAGAGCACCAGGGGCCAGCGCGCCCGGTGCAATTCCCATTGCGCCCGACGTGATGGGAGGTAGAGACCTCAATAGGTCTCACAAGCCCAGCGTGCTCATCCCGCGCTCGGCGCAAGAAAGTAGAGACCTCCCCAGGGTCTCACGCCCGGCGCAATATAAATTGCGCCCGACGCCACCTCTGACAGAGACTCCCAAGGAGTCTCCATGCCCGGTGAGACATGGTCACGCCCGGCGCCACACCAGAAACCCCAAAAGCATGTCACATACTGATATCACGCCCAGCGCCGTCCCACCACGCCCGGCGTGGGTCATCCAGAGGCTCACATTTGCAAGCTCGCCCGTCGCACACATCTTTGCGCCCGACGGACTTGCCCAAAAAGGGAGCCCTCTGGTGGTCACGTGCCCGGTGCCAAGAACTGCGCCCGACGTGATACTCAGCAGCAACCCACCTAGTACGAAAATTTCTTCAAAAAATTGCATTAACATCCAGAAAAATCCACATGCAATCGGTCCAAAACATCACATTTTCATTAAATCACCCAAAAAGCCCAACTTTACCCACATGCAACCATAAATAATGAAAATCCCCAAATTTTCACCCACCCCCGAAAGTCCCGAAAACGAGTTTTCTTCAATCCCAGCCACAATTATCAAATCATCCAACCATCCATGAGTTACTAAACTCATTTTCACACAACCGCATGAATCCTAGCTTCCCTTATCTCGGTGAAGAAATCCGAGCTTCCTATAGAAAGAGAAACGGGGAAGAAGATGAAGAAGAGCTCAATAGAGAAGAGCAAAGAATATCTGGCTCCAGCTAGCTCCACACGGCTTGCGTTTGAGAAGAAGAACCTCTAAGGAAACACCTCTTCAGCTAGAGAGAAAAAGAGTGAGTAAGAGTGAAGAAAAGAGAGGGAGAGTTGAAAGGGAGAGAAAAGAGGGACGGTTCTCACAGAACAACAAACACAAAAATATGAAAACACAATAATGTTATTAACTAATTAAAATATAAATTAAACTAAATAATTCAGTAGACATAATATTTTTTATCTTTTTATTTTTTTATTACTTTTAATTATTTTTTTTAAGAAAAAAGGAAATCAATGCAACATGTATACACTTTTAACAAATTATTTTATTATATATTTTTTTATCACAAATGCTTTATTGTTATCCATATAAATATTCTCAATAATCTTTATAAATAATTAAATAAATTTTAGTCATTTTCAACATGAGATTGAATCATAATTTTTCTTATACATGTGCTATTTGAGAAATTATATGGGTCAAACCATGCATTAATGTGCTTAGTCGAATCCAACCATATTGATTTTATTACGTAAATATTCAAATTCAGTCAAACTTTATTGAATTAAAATTAAACCAAATTCATCTTCACTTGAATTATTTTTAGTCCTAATACTTTCTTTCTTTTGAATTAAGAAGCATTGAAAATAATTTATAATAAAATAAATAAAACTTATATAAGAAAATTTAAAATATAAATTCTCATAAAAAATAATCGAATAAAAATTAAATACAGCTTTAAATTTAATCATTTTATGAAGACAATAGTAATATACGGAATCAATATCCCGTCTTTCTTCTCTCTTTTGTTATCTTTCTGGTTGAATCGGTGACATTTATTTACCAAATTATTATTCAATTGGAACACAAGATTATGTAAAAAAAAATGTAGCTCCAGAAAGGTGTTAAAAAATTAATCTAAAATTTACAATCATTATGGAATGACGTATTATGAATAAAAACTTATAAACAAAGATCCATGCAACAAAAAAAAAAAAAAGTCATAAATAAAGAGTTATATCATCTCTTATAAATAAGGAGATTTTTGGACAATATTTGTCATTACATAGAAGGGGTCACTGATTAATTATGTCTGATTAATTATAGAATTTTCTTTGAAAGAAAGAAAAAAATAAAATAAGAAAGTTCTTATATTTCTTTTTGAGAATTGAGAGAAAGAGGAAGTTGTTTCCACTACACTTGAGTGGTCATTTTTGAAAGAGAAACTCTTTCTAATTTTGCTTTTATGGTAGAGATCCTTTTATTGAACTATATCTTGTGATTTTTGTTATTCACATTGAGAAATTTTTTTATATAATAATTTTGGTGTTATTCTTCTACTCTTTATTTTTTTTTCTGTATAGTATTTATTTTGTATTTACATATGTGAGAACGAAATATGTTAATTTTCACCAAAAGAAACATCTAATTTTTTCTTAAAAAAAGTTCTAAAATTCAAATATTGAATGAAAAATAATTCAAAACAATTATTATTGTCGTGACATTATCTCCTAATTAAAAAATTTTGGCGACCGTTCCAAGTCACTCATATTTCTTTTTCTATTTCTCCGTCCTCTTTATAACCAAAATAATAATATAAAAATGAATTTCCGCACAATTATTTGGCTGTCCAAACAAACCTAATGTAAATTCACCAATCATTTCCACATGTTTTTTCTCAACACCGTTCTTTTAGTACGCACCAAAAGATTCCCATATATTCTTTAATCTCAGTTTATTGCGTGTATACTTGCAGAAGATATATACTCAGTTTATATAATTAAATTTTTTATTTATAATAATATAACTATTTTTAATAAATAAACTATATTATAATTAAAATTTAGAATAAATAAATAATTTATTCTTAACCTAATAACCTGTTTTTACTTTTTACAGGAAACGAACACATTTTTGGAGATTATTATTATTATTTATCGGAATCAAATTTTTTAGCGAAATGATTGAACAGCAAATATAAGGGCTTTGCAATTAATGTACCATTAGTCAATTCCATCTAATTCTAATATCTAAGTTTAAAGGTATTTGAGGACAATATTTGCTGTTACTTCTCTAATTTGTTTGATATCGTGTTGTTGCTTTAACCCGTGGGATATACACTAGATTCTTAATCAAACTTAAATAGTATTTTGATAAGGACAAAACATAGGAATCTGGCCATTTGCCAATGAACATTTCAGAGGAAAGATGCCTAGAAATACAATAGCTAACTTTACCCTTTAAAAATAATATTCATTGCTATCAACTTTCTCACCATATATTATACGGTAAGCTTTCACTAGCACTTAGCTAAATTGTTTAGTTTTTAGTGGGACTGTGTGCAATAACACGTGGCATGACAGATTCTTATCCTCATTTAGTATTAATTTATAGTTTTACTTGGAAAAGCACAGTTCAAGTGTTAAATTTGCAGTGAGTGACAATAATAATGGTGGATTGTAATTCATATATAGCTTATTTCATGGCTCAATGTGGGACACAAGTTCGATGGCTAGTATCCTACTAAAACAGAGGGATCTTGTATATCTGTAGTGGACCCTTCATTCCTCCTTGTAGTTTAAGTAATCTCTGTGAAGTGTGAATAAGGACATGATCGAATCTGGATTATTCTGGAACCTATCCATGAGAAAACTCGAATTATCAGAAAATAATTGCACGATAGTTTTCTATAATGTCGCTATTAAGACAGGTTTTCCACAGATTATTTATTTGCAAAAGGGTTATCTTGCTTTATAACTAATTGGGGAGGAAAAAAGAGCTTAAATGAAAATGTTAATCTAATAGTCCAACTAGGCACGTTCCATCTGAAGGCAAAAGTTGCATCTTCCTCCATTATCGGTGGGTCCAATTGAGGAGTGAGAAAGTGGGAGTGAAGGCTTTTGAGTGTTGAAGGAAATAAGAAAGAAAGAAAGAAAGGCAAAGCAAAAGAGAAATTAAAGTGAATGGCTTTTTCTTAACGAGTAAGAAATGGGTCGCTAATCACTCAGATTGGTATTATTGATTGTTTTCTATGTTAGCCAACTGCCATTCTCTCCAATAATGTGCTGCCATCTTACCATAAACTCTTTTATGACTTCATAATTAATCCCAACTCAACATACATATGGTACAAAAAGCTTTTGTACCAAACATAGGTTGATATTTTAGTTAAATCATGGATTAAAAAAATTATAAATATGTATGAATTTTTATGGAAATGAGACACGATATTAGGTGATATTTTTCGTCCAACACGAATTTGTATCACTTAACAAATTTGTTTCTTTTTACATAATTTAACTATGCATACTAAAACTTTTTCACTAACTTAAACTGAAGCACCCCACTCTTTCATCTTCAAATTTTCTAAGCGAAAATAAAATTGTGGTACTAAATTTGAACTCAAGTCATGAAATTAGGTTGTGTTTTTTTTTTCTTACACAGATTGTCTTCAGTTTGTAGTTTATTCAATATATATATA